GTTTTAGATCTCGCTAAAAGTGATCAATGATCATTAAATACGGACAGCCGCGAAAGAGTTCTTTTTAAAAATTTCATAGGTCAGAGAAATGTGACAACCGACTTATTTCTTTTCTTAAAAAGTAATTTTTTAGTAATTTTTATATATATATATATATATATATATATATATATATATACATATAAGAAGAAAAGAAAGAAAAAGAGGTGAAATAATTTCACAATAATAGTAATTGATTGTCATTATATATATATATAGAGAGAGAACTTTTTCTTCCATTAGTTTCACGAATTAGGGGACTAGAAAAATGTACTCGAGAGAGGTCCTCTAACGATTTCTTACTTTTAACAATACCAAACTAGAGAATCGCGGCCTGTTTCAACATCGAGTACCACTCGTTTTACGGAGAAGCTTGTAAGGACCTCTTACATAGCTGCAGAAGCTTCGGTAAGTAATTGTGTGACTGTGTGTTTTTTTGCTGGGGTGGCAATTTTCTTTCTCTTTTTCTTTTTCTTTTCTTTTCTTTTCTTTTTCTTTTTTCTTCTTTTTCTTTTCTTTTTCTCTTTTTCTTCGACAATCTCCCAAAAAATTCATATATATATATATTATTAATACATTTTTACGTTCGTTTGCGAACGAACCCTTCAATATTACTTATTAATCCTAATTGCATTTACTTACACTCGCGTTAATTACATTAATATTTCCTCGTTTTATCAATTAATAAAATGACAGCAAGTGATACGAAGATACGTGGTCGTAATTACGGATATAAATAAAGTGAAATGAAAAATGCAGTGAAATGTAAAGAGGGAAGAAAAAAGAAGAAAAAAAAAGAAAAAAAAAAGGAGAAAAAATGAACGAAACAACAACAAAAAAAAAAAAAGAATAAAAAGAATAAAAAAGAACAAGAAAAAGAAAAAAAGTTATTCCCATTAAATGGATTCCTGACCCGGCTCTTTGACCTCGTTGTTATTTCGTTGCGTTCCAGAATATATCCAGAAAGTTGCAATTAATTAAAAGATAATCATTATCATTCAGATATCACTGTTCTCTTACCTATGACTATTATGTTAACAGGTTTTAATATACGTATGAGTATATTTGTATGAACACACACACACACACACATACACATACACTCACACGCGTGCGAGAGAAAGACAGAGAGAAAGAGAGAGAGAGAGAGAGAGAGAGAGAGAGAGAGAGAGAGAGAGAGAGAGAGAGAGAGAGAGAGAGAAAGAGGGGGAAGACGAATGAAGTTAGCAAAATGAAAAGTGGAGATAGGATCGTTGAAAAGAGATGAGAGGACGATAGAAGAGACATTTTAATGTCGCATGCGACATAAGCAGCTTCCACAAGGGATTATGTAAAATCGGTTCGCTCTAATTAGTCGTCAAAGTTAAATACGACTCGTACTAACGATCGAAATTAAAGACAATGGTACGCGGGAGAGTGCCATTTTCCACGGCTGTGCTTTCTCTCTTTTTCTCTCTCTCTCTCTCTCTCTCTCTCTCTCTCCCTTTCTCTTACAGAAATACGCATACACTAATACATTGTTGACATACGTTAGCCAACGTGTACCAGTTCTGCTATATATGTACGTGATGAAATAACATTTATGTGTTTGCCGGACGATTAATGAAATTTGTCGGTAGGACAACAATACGTTTTCACCTGGTGAACGGGATCGTAACGATTTAATAAAACGTGTCACTATGTTTTCAGTTTGTTTTCAGTTGCGGACCCGGTTCCTGTTCGCCACACGATGCTGCTCGTGACCGCTGTTTAACTTGGATCTCTCTTCGGGAAATAAAATATAGGCTGTAGTCGCAGTCGAAATCCACTGCACCATGTGGCAAATAAAAACGAATCGGGAGAGAGAGAGAGAGAGAGAGATGCAGAGAGATAGAGAGAGAGAGAGAGAGATGCAGAGAGATAGAGAGAGAGAGAGAGAGAGAGAGAGAGAGAGAGAGAGAAAGGGAATGAAATTGCGATGGGGCTTTGTTTGCACCCTGAGTTCGACGATTCTCTTTTCTTTCTTTCTTTTTTTCTTCCTTTTTTTTTCCTCCCTTTTTTTTTCGTTGGTTCGTTCGTTAGTTCGCTCGTTCCATTCGTTCGTTCGTTTTCGGAATGAATCGTGAAAACGAGGGTGTCAGGAATGTTCGTTCCATCGAAAATCCTACAGAAGAACTTAATTTACTTTTAGCGAAATCAATTAAATATATCATAAAATCATATATATATATATATATATATATGATTATATATATATATATATATATATATATATATATATATATATATATCTATGTATATATAAATGGACATACGTGATCATAAGTATGACTTTCGATTTTGAGGTTAGAACGAAATTGAAAAAATAATATATTACATTGATTCAAATCATTTATTGGATATTGAATATATTCAAATAATTCAAATTATAGATTCGATTGATTAATTGTTCGATTAGTATATCTATCTATTCTACAGGAATATAAAAAGAAAAGAAAAAAAAAAAAAGAGAAGAATAATAAAAAAAGCAAAAAGAAAATCGTTGAGTACCTTTGGATAATCCGATAAATGGTGCGGTCAATCTCTAGAGAAAAAGAGACAAAGAAAAGAAAAAAAAAAAGAAAAGAGAAGAACAAGAAAAAAGAGAAGAACAAGAAAAAAGAAAAGAAAGAAAGTAATGATGATCGTTCGTCCGATGATTTTTATATCATGATTATGTCCAAAAAGTTAATCGACTAGTCGGACAAATGACAGAGAATTCGAAGTAGATCGAGGGATGGCAAACAAAAAGCGAAAACGAGAGAGAAAGATAGAGAGAAAGAGAAAGAGAAAGAAAAAAAGAGAAAGAGAGAGAGAGAGAGAGAGAGAGACAGAGAGAGAAAGAGAAAGAAAAAAAAAAGAGAAAGAGAGAGAGAGAGAGAGAGAGAGAGACAGAGAGAGAAAATAAATAAGGGACTGTGTTTGATGATAGTTGTATACATAGGAATGTTTTTGGATTTGTAGGATGAAAGCTAGCAAACCCCATTAGCCGGCTTACCACGATCCCAGCAGTAAGTCTTCTTAAGAGGAAGCAAGGAGTTTTGATTAAGTTAATAGAGCATAGATAATCGTTGAATCGCATCATTGCGTGTTTGAATATGTCAATGGGATAATAAATGTAGGAATAAAGAAGATATACAAATAGAGAAAGAGAAAGAAAGAGAGAGAAAGAGAGAGAAAGAGAGAGAGAGAGAGAGAGAGAGAGAGAAAGCGACAGACATTTTGGCAGTACAGTCCTGGCAGTACACCACTTACAGGGATGGAGGCGGGCTTGTTGACCACGACGACGTCCTCGTCCATGTGTATCACCGTGATCGGCTCCGAGGTGACAGGCACCTCGTGTCTGCAACACACCAATCGCAACCAGCTTAACGTGGCTTTGTTTCTCATATTAAAAATTTCCATCGATCGCACACGCACGCACGCACACACACACACACACACACACACACACACACACACACGCATACACATGAATAAAGGACGGACTTCTTTCTATTGGAACGTGTCTAAAGTAATGTTCTAAAAAAAAAAAAGACACGCGCACACACACACACACACATATTAATATATATATATATACGTGTAACGTCTCATTATTTTAATTAATTTCGATTAAATCAATTAAAACTTTCTTTTTATCCTATCGACTTGAAACATGAATCGAGATAAATGATAGAAAGTTGTTATGCATTATGAAAATAGTATATCTTTCAACATGGATTTGTTGTAATAGTTCAGGAGGATTCTCGAAAGGTTACAACAGTTATTAATCAGGAAGAGCAGAAATTGGCGTTTATACGTTTCTCATAGGAAGGAATTTCGAAAATTCGTCGATTGTAATTGGACGCGAATAACGCGTTCACGATTGTTAAATCGTTACATTGAACGTTCGCCGTTTGAACTTTACTTTCTTTCTTTTTATTTATTTATTCGGCTTTTTTTGTTTTTCTTTTTTATTTTGCTGGGTTCCTTTTTGGATGGGAAAAGTTTCTACCTACCTCGAGCCTTTTAGAAACAACGTTTGTAACAATTTTTATTCAACATATATTAGAAACACCTGCAAGGACGCGAGTAGTATTCCAATTTCAATTATTACCCTCCATCACCACCACGACCATTACCACCATCACCACTAACACCACTACCATCACCTGCACCACCACCATCGCTATCATATATTGTCGATATATACTTTATCGGTCTTTCGTTATTACGTTTCCCTTTTATGGCTTGAAACTTTTTTTTCCTTTTTCTTTCTCTCTCTCTCTCTCTCTCTCTCTCTCTTTTCTTTTTTCCTTTTTTTCTTTCTCTCCCATTTCTCTTTTCTTTTTTTTATTCGCGACGAAATATAGAGAGACCACGGAATAGAACGATTTACGAAGAACATCGATCTTTCTAACGTAGTATGCTTTGAAAAATGTCGTGCAAGGAACGTTCTCTAAAGTCCAATTAAGTCCGATAGTCCTAGGAACTAACTCGCCTGGAAGGGTTGGTTCTACTTTAGGATAGGTCTAATAGCCTTTACATCAAATTGCGAACATCCACGCTCCCATTAAACCACCCCCATACTAGCTACAAAGAGAAAGAGAGAGAGAGGAGAGAGAGTTAGTCGTTCCTTGTACTATATATTCCGCTCAACTACAAAATTACTCGCAATACCGTACAATTAATGAGTACCGATTCTCAATTCAGTTCTCGGCTTACCCACCGAATCTTCCTCATCCTCATCTTCATCCTCCTCCTCCTCCTCCTCGTCCTCCTTCTCCTCTTATTCCTCCTCTTTGACTTTCGAAGCCTTCGTTAACTCATTGCGTAAACGTAACAATTACCGACAGCTTCTCACGCTTTCGAGTAGCTTGGAATATCATTTCCATAAATTTACTCCCACGGTATAGATAAGACTATATGTATATATATATATATGTATATGTACCATGGCGGAGGTTTTACAACCGATGGAGTATCATAGTTCGACGAAAAATTTGAGATGTGGGATAGAATGAAGGGCTGAGAAATGTATTTGGAGTAGAGGAAATTAGAAGAGAATATCGATGAGAATCTCTACTTGTTCTTCTTCTTTTCTTTTTTTTTCCCCACTCTCATTCTTACTTCTTCTTTCTTTTTCGTTTTCCTTCTTTACTTTTTTATTTTTTCATTTCTTTTTTTCTTTTTTTTTTTCTTGTTTTTCTTTTTTTTCCCCTTCTTTCCTTCCTCCTGCAATCCTACTTTTCAAAACAAGCTGTTCGATCAATTAAACTTCTCTTTTATATACGGAGAAAAGAACTCGAGCGCAATTTTATTTAATTTTTTTCCTCCCCTTCTTACGACAGTAAAAGAGACTTAATCGGTTAAACTCATTTTTCTTTTCTTTTTTTTTCTTTTTTCTTTTTTTCATCTTCGTTTGATCATTCATTTGTTTCTATGCTTTTAATCCTTTTAATAGGAAACGATCGATCAAAAGAAATCGCAAACTTTTTCGTCACTTTGTGATAAAGGTGGATGTGGTTGACAAAAAAAAAAAAAAAAGAGAAAGAAAGAAGAGGATTTTGATCCTTCATGGGTGAATCGAACGATGGCATTTCGAAACGATCATTCGCGTTTTGATTTCTAATTTCTAAAGCCAAATGCATAACTCCTGTCCTATATATACGTACTGAAAATTGATTAAGTATTCTCATGAAATTCAAATTGAATAGACAACGATGGTATCGGGTATGAGTAAGTAATAGGGAGGGGGTAGTGGTAAAGGGTTTAGGAACGTTAACTTTGAGGTCTCTCAAAATTCATTTGAGAGATCCTCTCACATTGCCGTGTGTACCTTCGCCGTTATTATTTTAGCTTTAGTCGTACGGTTAACCAATGTCCAAATCTAGAGAGTCGTGCAATGGCGTAAAGATAAATCGTGACACGATCGAAAACTCGATCGTGACAACAAACGCGTTTCATGGTACTGGCAAGCATAGCCCAACGTTTAAGCCGGTATACCCCCTTCCTCCTCTCCCTCCCACCTTCCAATCCCCGTCTCCTTCCTTTTCTTTCCTTGGCAAAGGTATAACCAAGGAAAAGGTGAGCGGCCAACCTTTGACCTCTTTCCGATATCATCGTGTACTCGATCCGAGCTAATAAATCAACCTGTCACCGCTCTCTCTCTCTCTCTCTCTCTCTCTCTCTCTCTCTCTCTCTCTCTCTCTCTCTCTCTTTCTCTCTCTTTCGTCGTCTCTACAAGCCGCGACACACTTTGCCCCAGCACCCTTTACATACTCCCACTTTAGCCTATTTGCCACATTTCTCTCCTCCTTACTCCTCACCGTCATCGCCACCGCCACCCTCAATACCTCCCACCGCGTACCCCCATTGGCAACCCGGACGTACCACTTACTACTGTGCTACCCTGTGACTAGTAGATAAGGTTCCATTTAAGAACATGATTAGTGGACTTGTTCTTAGATTCACAAAATGCAACTATTAGGAAAACTCGGTCGTTAAGTGTCCGTGATAAAACTTCATAGTGTATATATTATATGTGTGTGTGTGTGTGTATGTGTGAGAGTTTTGTATAATAGAAATATGACAAAAGGTACATAGAAAGACTTTGATTTCTATGTGCTAGATGATATGGACAAAAAAAAATTGCGGATATGTACAAGTATAACAAAGGGAGATCTTTGATGGATAAATGGTTCCTATATTTCTGATAGATATTCATCGAAGAGAGCTTTCGATATCTTTGTCTTTAGTTTTACTTTTGTAAAGTCGCAATTTTCTGTTACAATATACATTGATACATATGTGTATATATATATATATATATATATGTGTGTGTGTGTGTGTGTATACATTCAGCGAGGAATCATTATTTCTTTTCTATTCTTTTCTTCTACTTTTTTTTTTGTTCTTTCTTTTTTTTTTTTTTCGTTTTTTTTTCTCATTTTTTTTTTTTCTTTTTTTTTTTATTATTCGTGAAAAACATGTGTATCAGTCGATATATGGAAAGGAAGAAAAATATGATGCATCGTTTGTTCGGCAAAACGGGAGGACAAGTATTTGAAGAAGAATTTAAGGAAGGTGCAAGGACGAGGAAATTTGTAGAACGTAGGAAATTCTTTTTCTCTATTTGTGGCATGAGAAGAACTCGGACGGAAAGGTTTTTCTTTTTTTTTCTTTTTTTTACTTTTTGGTCCTTTTGTTTTCTCACTGTTGTAGGAGTTATATACGATGTGGCAAGACGGTCTTCTTAAGCCAGGCTCTTTCAAGAGGGATAAAACAAAGCAAAAAAAAAAAAAAAAAAAAAAGTAAAAGACAGAGAGGGCAGGAGGAAAAAGGTGTTACGTTGAGAGTTTCATGTCGAGAGAATGAAGAAAAGTAGTAGTGGGTTTATTAACTGGACAAATATAATTAATGGAATTTTAACAAAGGCGCCTATGTTTATCGAAACAAACTGTTTGTAATTGGTATTTAACAGAGGTACAGAAAGAGTGAGAGAGAAAAAGAGAGAATGAGAGAGAGAGAGAGAGAGAGAGAGAGAGAAAGAGAGAGAGAGAGATAGAGAGATAGAGAGAGATCCATCATCTTGTTTATGTTTACATTACCAGTGAGAATCTTAACTAAGTTAAGTCGCTTTTACTTGCAAGAAGACAAACAGAACATAGTAATCGAGTTGCCAATGAAACAGTGGCCAACGAAACTACACGATAAATAGAGTTAACATCAAGAACATTTTGTTTATTTGTTTAGAGATAATTGAATTGAATTTTGGTAGGATAGAAAAATGTAAAAAAAAAAAAGAAAGAAAAAAGAAAAAAAAGAAAAGAAAAGAAAAGGAAAAGAAAACTGAAATTATATCTTTCTGTTTCTTTATCTATATATATATATATATTTTGGTTTTTTGGTTTCTTTTTTCTTTTTTTACGGACATTCAGCAGGACAAAGAGGAAAAAAAAAGTGATATCGATGATTCATCGATCGGAATAAAGAAAAGAAGTTCTTCACTACTTCCTGAATAATATTTAAAGATTTACGAATGAGTTAAGATTTTAAACGAGCTATAAACGATCAATTTAATTCAACGTAGAATAATAAACGACGTTTCCGAATTACAATGATGCCAAGAGGCACTCCGCAACAAGTTCAATTTTCTGTGATTTCCCTGATAGTAGGAGTAACGCGCCAAGAACCGAGCCCAGCCCAGCCCAGACCAGTTCTATCCCATCCTTTCTTGGCACGGACATTTGCCCAAACATTGTCACCGATATCACGTCAATTTCAGCAACAAGTATTCCAACTTCCAACGAGCAGATAAACCTTCATCTGTTTGAGTATGCGCCCTCGTAACGTTTCGTTGGGAAGTTTGCACTGAATGACAAACGGGTGTTAGAGAAAGAGAGAGAGAGAGAGAGAGAGAGAGAGAGAGAGAGTAAGAGAGATAGAGATAGAGATAGAAAGACAGACAGATAGAGTCACATCGATTTGTCTACTTTGAATTTTAAACGATGGCTTCATTATATATATATATATATATATATATAAAATTTTTTTTCTCCTTCAAAAGCTTCATTGAATCATCGATCGATCAGAAATCCACCTCAAAGTGCATAGCTCCCTTCAATTTCCTATAAACATCTGAAATTTCGATGAGCTTCGAATTGATTTAAAAGGATCGATGGATACTCGAGGAAGGGTGGATATCGGTGAAGGGGGAGATCCTATGGAGGGGTGGAAAAGGAAAACATAAAAATCAGTCGGAAGTTTCTTTCAACGAAATGATATGTGAGAGAAGATATTCGAAAGTAAGGTTTAGAACTTTGTAGAGTTTTTAGATAATTGGATCGTCCTATTCAATTTTGTACATGTCGTCAAAGTGAAAGAGGTAGTATATATATATATATATATATATATATATATATATATATACAGATAGACACGCAAGTCATAAAACCGGAATACAGGTGAAATTCTATCAGTACAAAAGTTTCGATTTATCGCTCCGGTTGCAGTGATAAAACATTAGGTCAATATAGAATAAGAAAAATCGGAATTGTTTATGAAAGAACTCGATTTATACTTCGATGACGATCTAACACGAAAGGTCATTCCTCATCGTTGAAAAAGGTTGAAATAGAAAAGAGAAGATGAAAGAAAAAAGAAAAAAAAAAGAAAAAAGAAAAAAGAAAAAAAAGGAAAAGGCAAATGGTTGCTGTTTATCATCTTTCATGCGGATCGCATTCAAGTATTATTGTCAGTAGTTCGAAGGTGAGCGCGTCACTGTTACCACTTAAAATTGCGCAACCTAACAGATGCGTCCTTCGAGACGCTGCACACCTGCCTTTCCAGTATTTCGATGCCTTTCTCTCGAAGCCATTCCATTGACGTGCCTTTCGTTTCGTTTGTTCCAACGAAAAAAAAAAAAAAAAACAAAAAGAAAGAAAGGAAGATAGAGAGAGAAAGAGATAGAGAGGGAGAGAGCGAGAGATAAATATCTTCTTGTCTCTCGCAATCCTCTCGCTATTATCTTTTTTTTTTTCCTTCTTTTTATTCATTCGCACAATATCTCAAGATACTAGTCAGAAAAAAAATATATTATAGAATAGAATAATTTAATAATTCTACATCCGTTTAGATATTTGCATATATATATATATATATATATATATATATATATATATATAAATAAATATATATATATATATTTTTTTCTTCTTTTGCTTATTATGTACCATATCAGGTTTTTTTTTTGAAAAAATTTAAAAGGTAAATGATAATTCGATTGGAATATTTATAATATTTTTTCTTCCCCATCCGATCCGATATTCATCTATGATAATAATTATCGGACAGGAGTCTATTAGATTCGATCATTCGATTCGTATAAAAATAGGAAAGAGAAAAATCAATTTAATACTTTTATAAACAACGGTTATTATAAAAAGATTGAAATGATATATCGTTTAAATCGATAAATAATGAGAGCCGATAAATCTTCCCGGGTTTACGTAAAGGCCGATGTAGAAATAAACGATTAAGACAAGATATTTAAGCGATGACCATTTAACGGGATGTGGCAATAAATAATAATGCCAAAGCCAATAATTAAATAAAAGTATAAATACAAAAAGAAAATAATATTGACTGGTGCGAATAGAGGGCGAGGGCGAGGGCGAGGTGGTGGGGTGGGATGGGGGCAGAGGTTGGAGAGGTGGACTTAGAAGATTCGTTACGAAAGCTTTCAGTATTTTAACGACATTTTTATCTCTACGAATGAAGAAATAAAGAAAAATTGCATTCGAAGAGAAGAGAAACATAGAAGAAGAAGAAGAAGAAGATTGATTTTCATCGTGCATAAAAGATGATAGCAGTATAGAAAGTTGTTTGAGTTGAAAAACCGATTGGAACCGAGTTGGTGAATGTGTCGTGTATGTGTATATATATATATTTATATATATTTATATATATATATATACATATATATAAATATATATATATATATATATATATATATTACGTGTATATTATAGGTAGAGTATCGCGTACTAAACGTGTGCGTTAACTTGAATAGTATTCGTGCCAAGGATACTCCTCCTCGTAATACCGAACGTGGTTCCTTCGGAGAAGGATCTACAAGGCTATCGATCCGACCTTAGACTCGCATTATATGCAGAAGCCTCGAGATCAAGATGGCAGCGGTATAATAGGAGTAGGTAATAAATAATTATGCCTGGATATTTAATTTAAATGGTTGACTGAAAATTTTGTATAAATTTCGTATAATTTGATTAACTTTTCCGATGATACTTGAAAGAAATGAGAGAGAGAAAGAGAGAGAAAAAGAGAGAGAGAGAGAGAGAGTGAGAAAGAGGAAAATGGATGGGAAAAGGGGGAGATCAGGAAGAAGAAGAAGAAGAAGAAGAAGAAGAAGAAGAAGAAGAAGAAGAAGAAGAAGAAGAAGAAGAAGAAGAAAGGGAATATTATAAGGAATTACAAAGGAACCCATCATCATTTCTATGATATTCTAAGGTTTCTTACCTATGAACGACGTTAGCCAGAAGGTCATTGTGTCGCAATCTATAATCGACGTCCACCCTTTGATAATTGACGGTGAGCGTACCAGCACGTATACATCTCTCATATTCCTCCGCAGGATGGGCACGGAATTCTCTTGCAAAGACCTCCAAGATCTTCTCGCCGACCCATCGGCCTTTCGTGAACGTTGTAAATGTGAAGTAATAGGGATATACCTTTCGAAGCCCTGTTATAAATGACATTGGCAGCTAAAATAGGGTATATATATTTCATATATATATATATATATATCGTAAGTAATATCGATTCGAGTTATTGAGACTTATTGTTCCTTTAAGTATAATGGAAACTTTTTCTCACATTTCAGATATATATATATATATATATATATATATATATATATATATATATATATGTATAGTAAATCTTATAAATCTATATATATAGTTTTACAAGAAATGTCGGAGAAATAAGTATTATTAACGTAATGCTTTATAATTTTTAATTGGATGTTCAAAATTTTTCTTGAACAAAAAAGAAAGGAGAAAAAAAAGAGAAGAAAAAAAAAAGAAAAAGATAAAGAAATCACAAAAATTCTTTCAAACGAGAATCTTAGAAATCGATGATAATATCCGAAGAATTTCTCATTAATTTATTCAAAGACATTTAATTCGTACGTCGAGATGATTAAACGTGCTCATTGATTTTAAACACATGCCGTCAGATGAGAAAAAAGAGGAAAGAATGATAGAAAGAGAAAGGAAAGAAGGAAGAGAGAAGTGACCTCTCCTACCTTTTCTCTCGAAAATACCGGTTAAGACGAATACAATAGGAGACACGCTTTTCCGAAGGTCGAATCGAAAAGTACGGGGTATTAGGTTGCTCGAGGAATTTTTTTTATGATGAAAAGAGACAATGTTTCGTTCCCACGAAGACTAATGCAATATAGGAAAAAGATGGAGGTTTGCAGTCAGTTAGTCAGTCAGTTAGTCAGTCAGGAAGAAAAAAAGAAAGAAAGAAAGAAAGAAAAAAAGAAAGAAAGGAAGGAAGAAAAGTGAGAGATAAAGATAAAGAAAGAGCAAAGAGAGTAAAGAGAAGAAAGGAGAAAAAAGGGAAGCTTTTGAGGTAGGAGATCTGGATTAGGTGGTGAACGCGAAACGTGCCGAGAGTCGTTCGAAGGATCCTTTAGAGATCGGTCTTCCCTTGCTGCCCTTTGCCAACATTCTCATCCACTTATACACAGTGAAAGAAAGAGAAGGAGGGACGGGGAGAGAAAGAGAGAGGCAGAGAGAGAGAGAGAGAGAGAGAGAGAGAGAGAGAAGCGCACATACACAAAGTAAACATACACATACACACACATACACACATATATATAACGGATGCTTGGTTCTCCTCCGTTCTCGAAGAAGAGCTTCTCGAAAAGAGACGCTGAGAAATCGTTGACGAGACAATGCGTTGTCCTCGACGATATGTTAAGCCTCCTCTCGAAACATGCTCGTTTCACGATAGTCAAGAAGAAGGCTACGAGAAGAGTATCTCTACTTTTTCTTTTTCTTTTTCTTCTTCTCCTTCTTCTTCTTCTTCTTTCTATTTTTTCTATTTTTTTTTTCCTTCTTCTTTTTCTTCTAATATTTCTACCGATTTATCGAATGTAATTATTTCATTAGAGTAAGTAACTTTCAACGAAATTCTTTAAATGAGAACTACGAAGAGAAAGAGAGAGAGAGATAGATAGATAGATAGATAGATAGATAGATAGATAGATAGAGAGAGAGAGAGAGAGAGAGAGAGAGAGAGAAGTAACTATTCTTAATTGTAGTATCAGACTGTAAACGGGTTAATATTTTCTAAACGTTTCTTTATCTACTTTTTCTTTTACTTTTTCGTACAAACAATTATCCGTTATTTTCGATCTATTATCAAAAATTATAGACTTTAGAGTTCTAACATGTCGACATTCATGAAAGATTTAATTAGCTGTTCAACGAGGAACAATTTATAATATGAAAGGAAATTTAAAAGATCAAAGGAAAGAAATTCTGTAGATCTCTTTTTTATTCCATGAAAAAAGATAAAGAAAGAGAGAGAGAGAGAGAGAAAGGGTGAAAAATATGTATACACGAACGAAGAATAATCTTCACGCTTGTGTAAAATTCATGATACCTTGTGGATATCATCTACAGTGTCTGTTTAATATTTGAGATGAAATTTCTTTATCGGAAAGATCAAAAATGTTATGTCAAAAGGGGTATGAGTTAGTTCTTAATTCTTTTTTCTTTTCTTTTTCTTTTTTTTTTTTTTTTGGATTAAATCATTTGATATAAATAAATCTTTTTAATTTAATTTTCAAGCGACAGTAACACTTACGTTAATATTTTTGATTTGATTTTATCGAAAAACTTAAATATGTCATTTTAATATTTTAAATTAATATTCATCGAGAAATTCAATAATTTAAATTAATCATTATTAACGATGTCCGACATAATTTCTTCGATCACGATTATCGGATATATCTTGGGGATCATTGTCGCGCGAAAAGATCGATGCGTTTACGTGTATGAAATATTCAATTTAACAAAAAAAAAAAAAAAAAAAAAAAAAAAAAAAAAAAAAGAGAAAAAAAAGAAACAAAAAAAAGAAATAAAAATAAATAAATAAATAAATAAATAAATAGATGTGACCTTCGCGAGATATTTTGTAAATAAAATCATGTATATTACGAATAAACAAACGTACCCTTCCATGCTAATTTTTAGCATGCGTCAGACGTAAAGTCAAACTGAGAGAGAGAGAGAGAGAGAGAGAAAGAGAGGGAGAGGAAAAAAAAAAGGTACGATAAAGAAGAAAAGAGAAGACTAAAGTAGAAAAGAGAAGAGAAGAGAGGAGAATTTAAGCGTTGAGAAGAATCGTGCTAGGTTCTTAACAGCTTAAACGATGATGTCTGCCTACCGATCGACTTTTATCACTTGCTAGCAGGAAGAAGTAGTGGGAGTGGCCGCGTAGAGTACAAAGCCTTCTCTTCCAGTGGATGAACAGTGAACACTCGTATGCCTGTGTGATGGCCCTGCACACGTACTAACACTTCAGAGTCAAGCTTCGCGAATGGAGAACGTAAAGAACGTACTTTTGAATAAAGCAAGACAAGAAAAAAAAGAAAAAAAGAAAAGGAAAGGAAAAAAAAATGAAAAAAGAAAAAAAAAATAAAGCAAGACAAGAAAAAAAAGAACAGGAAGAAAACAAAAAAGTAGTAAAAAATAGAAACTGTATGAAGAAAGAAAGAAAGAAAGAAAGAAAGATAGATAGATAGATAGATAGATAGATAGAAAGAAAGAAAGAAAGATGAAAAAGAAAGAAAGGATGGAAAGAAGGAAGAAAAACGAACGAACGAACGAACGAACGAACGAACGAACGAATGAACAAATGAACAAACAAACAAACAAAAAGAATTGACGCGAGAATATGAAGCTCGCATAACCGGACACTCGTTTTAAAACGATCGTCGTCGAGATTCAAACTCGGCTTGCTCGCGGGCGATTACACCGCATGAATTGAGAGAATACGTGCTTCATTTTGTGTCTCATGCTTTGATATTTGAACGGAATGAAAATTATTAAAGAGGGAGAGAAAGAGAGAGAGAGAGAGAGAGAGAGAGAGAGAGAGAGAGAGAGAGAGAGAGAGAGAGAGAGATTGTAAAAAAGAAAAATTGTTCCTTTTTTAGATAGACAAATATTACGTTAAACGAAGAATTTTTTTTTAATTGAATCAATATTTATTTAATGTATTTATTTACTATTATAGTATACAAGGCGAGAAAATGAAAGAGAGAAAGAGAGATCGAGAGAGAGAGAGAGAGAGAGAGAGAGAGAGAGAGAGAGAGAGAGAGAGAGAGAGAGAGAGAGAGAGAGAGAGAGAGAGAGAGAGAGAGAGAGAGAGAGAGAGAGAGAGAGAGAGAGAGAGAGAGAGAGAAAGAAAGATTGTAAAGGAAAGAAAATTGTTGCTTTTTTAAGATAAAAAAAATATTACGCCCAGGGAATAATATTCTTCTTTCAATTGCACAATCACACAATTTTCATTCGTACTTCTTTTTTTTTTTTTTTTTTTTCACTTACGTATTCATTTTCTTTAATAATGGTCATGTTACGTGGACAGAAAAAAGAAAAAAAAAAAAGTATTCCATTTCATTCAACGAAGAAAGGAGAAAATAAATTAGATTGCGTTTGGTCTTTGATATCTTTCTGCATCGTTACGTTTTGACTGCAATGTTCGAGCCAAAACTGTTAGTACGTAATTTTTGCGATTCTGGGTCACGCGTACACACCTTGCAAAACAAGAGAGAGGGAGAGAGAGAGAGAGAGAGAGAAAGCGAGAGAGCGAGAGAATGAGAGAGAGAGAGAGAGAGAGAGAGAGAGAGATTTCGTTTAAATCCCTCTACCAGCCGTGTTCTATCTCCCGATAGGAGGAAGAAAACAAAAGGGAGCTTTATTAAATCAGTACGCTGATCGTCAGGGACGAGGACAAAAGCTGTATACCACGTTATAGTAACTTCGTGAGATTCTGATGGTATTCTCGCGTATTGATACATACACGTTAATACATATACAGTGACCATATGCGTTCCGTATATTTCTTTTTTGCCCTATACAATTCCCCCTCATTTCTTCCTAACATTGATCTACCTATTCTTACTCCCCTATTTCTCTTTTTATCCCCTCCACAATGTTCCATCCCCAATACTTTTTGTCGAGAATAGAACACAGCTTTAATCTATCCTCTTAGTTTTCCTAGAGATTGCGTTTGTTATCGATTATTATTTTAATATCGTGTTTGTTACATATATAAATATATATAAATATATATATATATGTGTGTGTGTGTGTGTGTGTGTGTGTGTGTGTATTTATATATATATATAAAAGGAATCGTCGTTCTTTAATATCATTGCAATTGAATTTATTTGTTAAGAATTTGTTTTCAATAATTAATAAATACTTGGAGAACGAGGGAGTGGATTAAGAAGGATAAAAGGGATTGGAATCGATTTGAACGTAATTTTTCATAAAGATCTGGATTATGTTTATTCAAAGTAGTTAATTGAAGGAGACATCTCTCTCTCTCTCTCTCTCTCTCTTTATCTTCCTCTTTTATTATTATTCCCTTTCCTTTATTATTATTCCCTTTTAGAATCGACAAAATCTATGGTCATCAAAAAGGACGCATCATCTTTGAGATATCTTTGTTATAAAGCTTCGAAGATAAAAAAGAGAGAGAGAGAGAGACAGACAGACAGACAGAGAGAGAGAGAGAGAGAGAGAGAGAGAGAGAGAGAGAGAGAGAGAGAGAGAGAGAGAGAGTAAGAGAGAAAAAGAGAAAAAGAAATGTAGGAAAGAAGGAAGACAGAAAAGTAGAAAGAAAGGAAAGAAAAAAAATTATAGAAAAAGAAGCATACATACATATCTATACATACACATACATACATACATACATACGTACATACATACATACATACATACATACATACATACATACATACATACATACATACATACACATACATACATACATACATACATACATACATACATATATATACACACACACACATATATATATATATATATATATATATATAGAAAACGATCGACGACAACTCGAGGAAACGAATAAAACGAGACAACAAGCGTTTGCGAAAGCTTTGTCGGTCTCTTCGTCTCGATATTACGGAAAAAGGAAGGATCTTGGACGAGGGACGTTGAGTTTCCTTGGCGATATTAACGGGTATACCTTCTTTTGAGTATAAAGGTAATACAGGATAGAAAGCTTCTCTTTCTCTTCCTCCCTTTCTCCTTCCAATCCTCCTCCCACTCTCTCTCTCTCTCTCTCTCTTTCTCTCTTTCTTTCTCTCTTTCTTTCTTTCTTTACCAGTTTGATCTCCTGAGGGGAAAAAGAATTCTTGGCGGGTCGTACGATAGCCTCGATGAAAGAACGTGCTGGCAGTCTTTCCTTCGGTAGTAATAAGAATACAACATGGCTGCCATCAACCGGCAAACTCGCGCCTTTTCTTCGAAGAGAAACCTTCGTGATTTTCCTATCCATCGCCTCTGGCTCACACGACGACTTTCTCTCTCTCTCTCTCTCTCTCTCTCTCTCTCTTTCATACATACACTCGAAGAAGTCAGAAAAGAAGACGAAGCGTTGCTTAGTTGGATGAAAAGGAGAGACCGAATTACCAAGACTTGGGATTTCACAGTTCGATAACGTACGCTCGACTTGCTCGCTCGAGATAGGATCGGATCTAGATTTAAATCACGTAGAGGTTCCTCCATCCGTTTTATACTATAACTGTAGATATCCTACGTACACACACACACACACACACACACACACATATATATATATATGTATGTATATACACATACATATATACAGATAGACAGATAGATACACACATTGCCTTCGAGAAGCCGATCGTACATCGTCGAGGCTCACGAAACCTCCCTGGAATGTAACTAACCTAAAGCTTACTTTAGCCTTGCAAGGATTGCTAAAAGAAGCGCTAAAGGACGTAGTAAGAAAGAAAGAGAAATAAAGAGAGAGAGAGAGAGAGAGAAAGAGAAAGTAGGATTGACTGACCAAAACCATAGCAAGTCGGCCAAGACGATAGAAAGCCAAGGTTGGAAAAGGTGCAAGTGGGCAATAGCTGAGGGTGGTCTCTATCTTTCGAGTGGCATTAATAGGTCTTTGTTTCGTTGGAAAGAGAAGTGTCTGGAGGATGCCCAGGCAGCGCGTCGTCAGCCGTGCGAGTCTATTATTCGAATGTGGAGCAGATATCGGTTGTCGATATGCCATCCACCAGTCTAAATATTCGATCGATACTACCCTCTGTTCATCCGTCTTTCTTTACTCTTTCGCGAATCTACTCTTTCTCTCTCTCTCTCCCTCTCTCTCTCTGTCTCTATTTTTCTCTCTCTGAATCGTAGTAGTCTTGCGCATCCTCCATTCGCCGTTCTAGCTCTTTCTCTGTTTCCGCACCTGTTAGCAGTCGATCCTGTTATCGTGGATGCAACTTTAACTCGCAATAATGAGCATCAGTGGAAGAGAGTAAACTAACTATCGAATCATCGATCCCCCTCTTTCGTCCCCTCCCCCTCCCCCTCCCCCCTCTCTTACTACCATCCCGCTATCGACGAGAAACGTCGATAATTCTATCCCTTGAAGTGGCTGAAACGTCGAACGTTTATATCCTCGAACGTTTGTTTCTCGATCTCATAGGAGCTTTTCGAAGTAGATTTCGCTTCGTAATGTTGGCTTTTTAATTTTGGAGAGAAAAGAAAAAAAAAAAAAGAACATGGAAGAACATGTACATGTAAAGTCTCTTTTCTCTTTATCCTTTCCCTCCCCTCTACTCCTTATTCCCTTTCCCCTGTTTCTTTAGATAGTCATACATGTTCTATTAATGATCATTAGATCGTACGATATTATTTATTGATATTGATTATCATTTATGGTATAAGTTTTGTTTAATTAAAAAGAACGAGCACGTTTAATCGTAAAATATATCATTTGATATAGACAATTGGGATGTTATAATAGACGTACGTCTATATAGTTATATCTGATCTTTGGAGGATTTAGAGAAGAAAAGAAAAGAAAAGAAAAAGAAAAAAAAATGAAAAAAAAAAAACCAGGATTTTTAAAATGGAAATAGAGTTATATAACGAGAAAAGTGATACTGACCGTTTTCCACGTAATAGCTGGTCTCATTGTAACGCTCGTCTGTGAATCCTGGCCTCTTTGCTTTCAATGCTTTCGTTTCCAATTTCGCCTGAAACAGAGAATATCCGAATGGTGATGCGTGAGAGGTCAAATAAATGAGCAAAAGAAACAGTAGGAATAAGAGGTGGAAAAAGGAGCTAGTGGAATAGACTAAGGAAACGGACATTGCTATTAGATTGGACAGAAAAATGCGATGGGAATAGTAATACCGATATCTTACGATTCTTTTCTCGAGATTAAACTATTACTCGTATCTGTGGGTGGGAGGGAGGGAGGCAGGGGGGAGGGATTACGACATGAATGAAACAAAACAAAACAAAATGAAAAAAGAAAAGAAAAGAAAAGAAAAGAAAAGAAAAGAGAAAAGTCAGAACATTCTCCAGTATTACGTGCTATTTTTATTCTCATTAAAATGATCAACTAAGAAACGTATGAAAAAAAAAAAAAAAAGAGAAAGAAAAAGAAAACCATTCTAAAGGGATTAATGACAAAAATGAATCTACGAACTATATATCTCTATTTGAATCTATTAACTATAATCGATCATCCTCTTGAAAATCTTAACATCTCGTTCGAATGTTAATGTGTGGTTGGAAGAACAGAAAAAACAAAGAGAGAAAAAAAAAAAAAGAAAAAGAAGAAGAAGAAGAAGAAGAAGAAGAAAAAAGAAAAAGACCAACACACTTCAATAAGAATTGCCGTGAAATTTTCTCTTTTCCTTTTCCTGATTTTTCTTTTACTTTTTCTTTTCTTTTTTTTTCTTTTTTTTTTTTGTTTCTTTTTCAAACAAACAAATCCATTTCTCGAAATAAGTTATGGCTTCCGTTGGTTATCTATATCCGAACGAGTTCCATCGGACTCTTCTCGATAGATAAACACGAGCGAACGTTAGAAACGTTAGAAACGTTAGGAACGCAGGAATCGTGTAGGTATAGAGAGATTTGATGATTTCGGAGCGCAAGAATCTTCGCGCCACTCGGCGACTCCGACGCTCTGGAGTTTCGGCTGTATCGACCGGCCATGAAAGTTCCCTCCCTTTCGACCTCCACCATTCTCTCTCCCTCCCTCTCCCTCTCACTCTCTCTCTCTCTCTCTCTCTCTCTCTCTCTCTTTTTCTCTCTTTCTCTTTCACTCATACGGCTGACACC